GTTTGTGGCAATTCGCCCTAATTAAAACTTGCAAGTAAGCGGCTATTCCCATGGTTAATTTGAAAAGCCATTTTACTTAAACTGACTTAAGCCGTCTTCCAAAGACGCCTCTACAGTTCAATATCATCATCCAATTCCTACTGGACCAACGCAGGCGTCCCAAAAATTGGGAGATTGTGGAAAAATCAAACTACTTAAAATATGTAAGTAAGCGGTTAGTAAACATGTTCACCCTTTTAGAATTCCTCTATGAATCCCTGCCAATAAGGATTAGACGTTGATGCTGTTGTTGCTGTTATTGTTGATTGATTGGGACTTTACTGTGCTAAGGAAGTAGTGCTGATGATATATTCTTCGACACTGCAAGGGAAATGAGTGGGCATGACTAGAAATCAAGAAAAATCTTGCGGATTCAAACGGACATCCAGTGCAGTTATGAAAGCGATAGTTTAAAACATCACAGCAATCCTTTAGGGCCTGCATTTAGAGAAGGCTGTAGTAAGGCGCTAACACAATCGAGATGAGAGTGAGGACAAGAATGGAGTAACATTTAAGGGAGTGATCCTCACACAGTCTGCCTCTAGCTGCACGATCAAGGAACCTAAATAGCGACAACGTTCCCATCAGGCGCTGCTACTATGAAGGATGTCCTATCCTTATTGACCTGCAGATGGAACGTTCAGTGAAATTTTAATAAACATTTCACGTCTTGCGCAAACGAAATAAGTATCGCCTATAATCTGTGAAAACAAACAAAGGATACAGAAAGTCAACCTAGCGAGTGTTGCTGTTGACTCGCTCGCGAAAATTAAAAAAAACAGAACGTTTTCTCTATACGGAGAAACCAGCTGACAACTAAAACCGTGAATGCATGAGCATAAGCTGGCTGTAAGAAGGTTGGACCCAAAGTCGGAGGTAGCAACCCATGCTCCAGAGGTGGGGCACGAATACAAATTTGACGCGGTCGAAATTGTGGGCCGAGGTGATGATCAAATTAAAGAAGCCTGGATTTTGACTGACGGTTCAGTAAACCGTCACATAAAGTTACCGGACCCTATGTTGTTTGAAGAACCTTCTTATCCTGGAACAGGCATGGAGTGGAACAACCGGTCCATCAACGAACACGACGACCAACGTGTTTATGCCTAAAACAACTCGGGGCTCGACGGGGA